TTGTGTTGCGTTTTAAAAAGGTACACGAGTACAACGGTAGTAGTGAGCGAGATGCATTTGCATTAATGTATTGCCATGTCGACAAGTGCAACAGATGGCACCGATTAAAAAACGAACCATTGATTACTATTCTTTTTTTCCTCTGTTACGCGGACATTCGTACGTCGTGATTATTTTCGGGTATAGCTTTCTGCAAGGTGATTCTTAAGAACTTCACGATACCAAACATCGTGACACAATGCCATGTGGAAGTGGAACGGGTTTGTAACGAAACGAATGCGACTTTACGAGAATGTATGCTCGCGTCCATGTAACACTCCACCGCTGTCGTTAATTGATTTTTCTCTCTCTCTCTCTCTCTCTCTCTCTCTCTCTCTCTTTCTCCCTCACGCGACACAAACATCCGATTGCCCCAGATACTCGTTCAAGATACGTGATTTGTGAAAACGAGCCATCTGGAGCGCTTGCTGCGCTGTCGGTGTCTGCAATCAGATACCTTCGAAAGGGTCGCGACTGCGAAATAACGTTATCGAAGCGCGATGTACCGGAGCAAAGCGGCATAGATCAAAGCGCAGCGCTATCGCTTCGCGATTAATAAATAATTAAGTGTAATAAATAAATAATTGAGTATAATTAATAAATAATTGAGTGTAATTAATAACTGAGCTGCTGAGCGGAGTGATAAAAGTTATAGAATAAAAATAAGTAAAAATGAAATATTCATTTTTGCACATGACTATTTTAATAAATGGTTCTTTTTAAAATTGCATGAAAAATAATACAATTAACAAAGTGTTCGATTGTTATACTTTAACGAACGTATACAAATTATACACATATAATTATATATGCTACTAAATTATATACATATAAATGTTAAATTATTTTTTAAATAATAAGAATTGAAGGAATTGCTTTTTAAATAATGAAAATTTTGTGCGCACTGTTTATTCTACTTAATGGCTTGACCGATCAGCAGCAAAAGGCGGAAGAAGAAAACGAGTTGTCCCTTGCAATCCTTGAAAGTCTCAAGCTATAGAAGCTTCTTTCTGTGTTCATGGCTTCTTTCTGTACTTTCAAATCCGTATAAAGAGTAGAAGATTCATATCAATCGCGTGGAATATTTTGCAGCCGTTAGACTGGAGTTTTTTTGGTATAGAAGATTTTCCAATTATAATTCTCACATGGATTTAATGATAAAATCTCTTCTGATTGTACGGTTTCTTTAGAATTATTAATTTATTGTTTAGCGTGAGTTGAGCGAATAATTATTTTCGAACGTAAATTCCGAAGGTCTAATAACTTTCGATCGAAAATTTCGTTACTTTACGTCAATCACTGCGGTATTTATATACTATATATCGTTAGTATAATGCAGCGACAACGTAATGCAGCGTTCGATCTTCCGGTTCCGCATAATTTCACCGTGCACGCTGCATGCCTGCCGACAACTTGTGTCATAAATTTTGCATTCCGCCGATAATTAAGCACAGACACTGCATGACTCAGCCAGAAATCTAAAATTCGCGAGTCTGCCAACTGATATTAGAGCGTGACGCGCATTACAAAGGAGTTAACAATATTTTTAGTTCAATATTAATTTTTTTAAATTACTAAACTGTATCAAAATAAAATTGAATAATATTTTGCTATAATGCCAATTGATTTTACAACGTGATACGCGTTGCGTATAAAAATTCATATCGCGATTAATGGCGTTACACTACACGGAAAGTCATCCAAACACAAATTATTTTTTTACTTGAGAGAGATCATATCGTACACGTAGCCATGTGTATCCGTGCAAATTTCAAACGAACTCGCAAGCGCAAATCGCGTTGCATGCCGCGGCAAATTTCAGACTCTAAAAACCGCTGCTTCGTAAGCAGAAAGAAGCACGCGAACGCCCATGAAACTTTATGTATAAATATCAGCAAGAATGGAAAAAGAATGAAAACCACAGTGTGGCACGAGCGCTTGATTATCGTACCGAAATACATCCGAGCTGCTTTCGTTTAACAACGCAAAGTAATTTTGTTATTTGCCCTTAAATTGATCTCAAATTGCCCTTATTATAGTTAAGTTTATACTTAGGTTTTCAAAACAGAAAATCTTCAAGATTAAAAAAAAAAAAGTGAAATTATTTAGCGTACAGGACGTATATTCCATCGCGATTATTGTCGACGATTTCGTCGATTACCTTTAAACGCTCATAAATTACTGCATAATTTAATATTATTAGCATTCAATGAAAAGATTTAAAAAATAATAAAAAATAATAAATTACGTCGTTACAAATAAAATTGCGAAATAAAATCGGTTTCCCTGGAGTCATGAGAATGTAAAGCAATATTAACCGCGCGTAGACGTTCCGAAATAATTAAATTTGATACAGGCAATTGTGTACCCACTCCCTACGGGCGGTTGGTAATTTATTAGAAAATCGTTACACACTCTTGATTTTGCATATTAATATCGCGCGAACCGGCAAATAGATAATTATTGTCGAAAACCAGAAACGAATCCGATGATAATAAATGCGACCTGCAGATCTTGGTTTCCGCTTCAAGTCGGACACCAGTATGGATATTTTACTGAGATGAATGCGTTTCTCGCGAGCGCGTACAATGTAATACTTAACTCGGCGCGAGATGCATCTGCTGCCTCTCGTACATTAATCACCGTCGACCCGCCGCGGCACGGCGCGTTGCTTCCATTACGCGACTCCACGTACAAATGAACTGCCTCCGAGTAGTAGACGTTAGCTACTCGAGAAATTGATATCGTTTATCGAGAGCCAATTCGACTATAGGAAACGGAAGGCATATAAAGCCCAATATGCGCGCGGAAATCGCTTGAACGTTTAATTTTTTGAAAACCGGAGAAAGGAGGGCTACCATTAATATGAGAATGCAATTTGCATCGAAATCTGACAATGGCCGAAGCAAATTCATCGCCGTTAATATTCACGGACCGTGGTTAATATCTACGCGTCCGTGTCCTTCGTGAATTGTCGCTCTCGCCGCACTTGTTTCATTAACGGTGCCTCGCGCATGAATTTACATGTAAATTAAGAACACGAAACCCCGGAAAGTTTCCGATCTCTCGTGAAAAATGTAGTTGTCGTGCAGTTTCTTTGCGTGAGGATCAGTGTGAGACGCTTCTCCTATTCGAGATCAAAATCTACCCGCGGTATAAAAACATCGGACCGAGTGCCGCTGCTTTATCGATCTTTCCTGTAAGTTCCCAATGTTCAATTGGCTGACTTGAGTTTCCAAAGGAGAAAATAAAACGCACGTTAGAAAATATCTGCGAACTGTAGGTCGAATTATATAGGAAATTTAATGGATTTAATAATTTGCTCGATAATGAAACGAAGTAGTCGATGTCGTTGATAACTTTGATTCTACTGGTTTTTTTTTCTACTTGATACCAAGAAAACGAGGACGCCTATTTCGCCTTTGCGAATTCGATTCTTCATTCCTCTTTCTTGTTTTCTCTCTTTCTGCTTTCTCATTTCAGCGTTTTCTAAAGAATAACGACTTTCTAGTGGCAGTAAAATAAATTGGCTATCGCGAAGCCTACAGTCGCGCCTGTCGATTTCGCAGATTGATTTTAGATAGGTTCATTTATTTTTCAGCAAACGAAGATTTTTCACGAGACTTACTTCTCATGTATGAGAAAAAAAGTTTGCGTGCATGATAGAGTTGTGGAAGATAAGAAAAGAAATGAAATATCTTTTTTTAGATAAAGAAAGCATATAGTTTATTATTTTGAAAAAAATTAATTACGTAACAAATTAACAGCATAATTTAATATAATTTTAGAGATTTTCTGTTATTACATAGAGCTATAGTGTATATTTAATTAATATTATATATGACACAAAGTAATAGAAATCAATAGAATTAAATAAAATGTACAAGTTTGATTTAAATATATATATAAAGAATATAAAAGTAACACAAAATAAATAAAGGAAAGATATTTAGAAAGATTATTTGCGTAATATTATTTATTATGTAATTATTCTTTTATTTTATTAAATCGTATTTGGTGGTTTAATCGCGATTGCGGTACTGAAATTTGGAAGGACTTGCACGTGATCCTCGTCTAATTTTGCAAACGCAAACTTTTCCGACCACGTGCGGAACCAATTGGGACGCATTGACTTCTCCATACGTGGCAGGAAACTTTCAATAAACGTGTGAGTACGATTGGTTGTACAATGAGTACGTTGCATTTACGTTCATTCGGCATTTTCGAAAATTTCGTATATGTAACAGGAGCATAATTTTGTTTGCGGCAACGCATGGATTCTTATTTACCAAAAACATTTGCGAGACATTATACGCTTTAGCGTTTCATAAATTTCGTTGATGTTTGCACTTTGCGTTGGGCAGACTGGCAAATATTGATTGCTGAATTGAAATTCTGCATATAACGCCTAGAGAATTCAAAGCGTGCAGTATCAAACGGAACTAATTAGTGTCCACATAGGCCAATAGTAATTGTTTATGATATAAAGCTGAAAAGTCATAAAATATTTTACAATTTTGAGGGACCGCGGTTTCTCCTTTCCATTGGGCAGTTGATTATCGTATCTTGTCTCATAGCACTGTTCGAGTTCCATTTGTTAACAAAATCTTCTTACAAAGTATCTTACTCTTGTTATATAAAACAACACACTCATTATGTAAAAACAAGAATAATTTCCAAGAAAGAAACTCGTACTCTTTTCTACTATACGCTTAAGAAGGCATCTTTTATAACGTTGCGAAAAAAATATGTCCAGAACATTATTAATAGTTACAAAACGTCACGCGTGATGCCGTAATAATATCATAAATTTTGGTGCCAAATTATTCTCATCCTGTATATACGATAACCAATTTGTATGTACCTTTTTTTAAATCGCACGTTACAATCACGTCGTGCATGCTTTTTATAATCGCACAATTGCATCGCTCAATTACCATCAAGCTCGTGTAGTAGCCGGTAATTATACTAGCTGCGAACCGCCCTTGTACCAATTAACCACGCGGTAACCATGTGCTAACAGCGCAGTAACCGTTCAGCAGGGGCCTCTACTCTTTATAGTCGGCGGACGAGTCCTCGAGAGGATCGAAGGATCATTTTCTTGTTCCTGCACCTGTGTCCATATGTTCGTGTGTGCCTGCGTATTTACGTACGTATGCGTGTAAACGCGAATGCTCGTATGTACACGTGTGAGGGTGTCGAGTGAGGACGGTCAGAATGCAGCCGGAAAACATACGGAATTCAACGAGGGAGAATTATAGCCAAGGGATTGGAAGGACGGTCGAGGGTAGGAAGAGTGAACGGGACCTAGAAGTCGGATTGCGACGTGGCCAGGGCACTCTCGGCCGTCTCCTCGCGTCGTCATAAGGGCCTCGTCACTTCGCCACACTCGCAATGCGTCGGGTGTCCACGACGGTCCACGCGGTTGCTGATTGAGTGGTCGCTGCAACAGAAAGAATGAATGAAATTATTAACGCAAGAAGAAGAAAGATATCATCAAGAGAAAGACAGAATAGACTTAATCGATTGTCATCAAGACCAAGAAAAGCTTCTTACATCGTCTTTACAAATAGAAAAATATAAAAGATTGAAGACAAGAGTTCTTACCCAGTAATCAACTAAAAGTAACATAATGTTATATTATAATTTTGCATTCAACAATGTAATTGTTATGTAACACCATGTGTTACATTATATTTATATTATTAAGTACGCAGAATTATAATACTAATGTTATGTTACTTTTAGTTGGTATTGACTTGGTATTTAAATTATAATGTAGTGATTAATATCACAAAATAATGTGATATTTCTTTTATAATATTAATCAAAGTTGGTGTTAGTAATTAGCTGTGCACAAATGAAGAAAAGAGAGAAATGGAGAGAGAAAGTTTCTCGAGTGGCAAGCGTCGAGCACAACATAAGACAGATATAATGCAAGTTATATAGATATCGTTTCTTATAGAACCTTTCTGTTTGATTCTCTTAATAAAATAGAAGATATCGGAGGAAATTTTCCATTAAATTATGGAAAAACGGTGTTACTGTTTCTTCCAACAAGAAGACCGTAAGTTTAATAAACTCTATTAAAACAGTTTAATGGCCGTGGATTGCAAGTTGATGAAATTGCAAAATCCATTTAAATTATATTAAATTTACGGTATGCGTCAAGTGCATTTAATTTATTTTGCCGTTAACCCTTTCGGATGGAAAACTTCTATTGCATTATAAGTACGGTTTTCTTATTAAGGCACTTCGTTAAATCAGTCAATATGAGATTCTTAAAAATGCAATTTGTTAGAACGTGTAACACTTCAGTGCTTCCTATTTCCTTTTTTCCGTAATAAATTTATGTAGCGAAATATCACGATAAAAGCAAAAAGAATAATAAAAATTCTATTTCTTGCTTTTACATTTCAATAACATTTTTTTCTTTGCTATCTACGTTTGAGTGTTTTCTTTATGAATAACAAGTATATTAATTTAAAGCACAAAGATACGGAGTAAGAAAAGATCTTTAATTTGAAGTTTTATTGTCAACATTTTCTCTATATTTCCGCTTTCTCTTTAATAAATAATATAGTTTCAAAAATTGATGAAAGAAACGCGCGCGTAATGAAACGATTGAAAACAATAAAGTATATAACACAGCATGGAATCCTTGATTGCACAACGACGAACTCGCTGTTATAACGAGTGAATAATCGAGTCGTTCCGCCCCATCGTTTCTTCGTATATATACGAATAGCGATAGAATGATTCGCAATATGAAAGATTTTTTCATTTGTTAAAGCGAAAATGCATTTCAGTAATTTTAGAAATATACATTATCCCGATGAAATAATTAGAATGAAATAAAATTGAAAGATCGTGAGAGCATTTCCAAGTTCTACGTCGAAATTTGTAAGCCGCTGCTGTTCATCCCTTATGTGACTCTGCGTGGGCTATACGATTAAATGTGCAACTCGTATGAATGTGTATGAATGAGATATGACGTCAATGAAGCGGTATGTGCCAACAATATTCGCACGATTTTCAATGTTATGTAACAATTATACACTTTTTTTTCTTTAGAAGCATGTTGATTGCCATTGGATGCCTTTTCCAATGTTTTTCTATCTTTTGCAATGGCTTGTAATAATTAAAAAAGACTTTTACCATTTTTATTTTTACTTTAGAATTGTGAGATAAAACGGAACGGTTTAATATGTACATACACATATTAAATCATATTACGAAGCACCGAATTATCTGCATGTTTCTAGATAAGATTACTTTTTAACATTATAGCAAAAAAATTCTCGCTGAGAATTCCACTCCTTCTTTACTTAAATATGCTATTATAAAACGCAATAACTCTTTTATGATGACAATATATATCACTGACACACACCTAGCAAAATGATTAAAATGCTACAACGGCCGAGAAATGAAAGCGTTGCGATGTATGGCCATGCCTTAATCTTTTACGACTTCATTGAATTTTTGTCACAATGCAGCTTGCAACCTACATGAGAATTGTTACATTTTGATTCGCTTTGACGTTTTCTCCTTTGATATACATCTTATTGCTGCCGCTAGTTTCTACAGAAACCACTTCAACCCGAATTCCGCGGATTGCCTCTTCTGATTATGTGCCGCAAAGAATAGAGGCTAGCCAAACCTTGGTTACAAAAGGTTCTATTGTTAAATTGAAGATTGCCGACATTCGCTCGTGCTTTAATAATCAGGCTAAAGCTTAAGAATATTGCATATTCATAGGGGCTTTCCTCACACAATAGAATGACACCGTCATCGTAAAAAATATTATCGGACATCTTAGAATTAAGTATAATTAAGTAGATAAACATTTATCAAGTAATTTAAAGCCTTAACGTTGCCATAAAAAATTAATTAAACATCAATGATTTTATAAATAAGTTTAAGTGTAAAAGAAATTAATCAAACAAAATATTATTAAATTTTTAATAAGGATTAAGGATTAAGAAATTCTATTGAAAAAAATAATTTGTTGTTAGGGAAAAGTCGGTTTGAAATTTTTTTAAATGCGTTGCTATAATCGGATCAGCTTCAATATCTTGTAGCGTAAAAATAACGTTAATAAAAAGCAATAAAGCACAGGAAAAGTGTAAAATAATTTTTGTGAAAGATTAAAACTATCCACGGCAATGTAGACCTGACGGTAAAGAGTTTATAAGAGAAATAACGAAGATTAGTACGTCGAGTTAGCGGAAGAGCAGACCGAGATGACAGGGATGGGAGGAGGTGGGATAGCAAATCGCCGTGGGTGATGAGAAAAAAAGAAGAATTCTGAACGCGATATCACCATGACCTACATCGTTCCGCTGAAAAAGAGCGGTGAATACTGAGTATACTATTGTCAGGCGCAGTAGTACACCGATGGTATCGGACAACGTCGCTCACGCAGTGAGCTACGTTACTACTCAATAATGGTCCGACAACTCTTAGGTCAGATCGCGTGCTCATCGCGATCCGGCAAGAATTTTTTAATTATTTACTTCTTCTGTCACCTTTTCAAAACTGTTTACGTCACTTGTCGATTCCCATAACGACATCATTTGCTTGGCGTGGAGCTTTCCATTTATAGCTTTACTTTGCGGTGTATTACGATAATAGCAATTCAAGTGGAGTGTGCACAGATGAAGAAAAAAATAGAACGAGAGAAACCACATTGGGGTTGAAAACCGAAAAACTGAGTAACTGAGTAAGTTGTAACGATTTACTTGACATTTATATAATGAATTCCTGAGACTTTTGAATTAAACATTAAAAGGAGAAAAATAAGGAAACCGGATAAAAGTGATATCCAACTACAATAGTCTAAATCGTTCTATGACGTGACTGTCATACCAGAAGGAAATCGATAGCAGGTGAAGTACATACTTGTTACGTTTACGAGCGTGCAACAACGGGACTTCGATAAGATCGTCATAAAGTTCATCGCAGGCTTTAGCGTCTTATTAATTCAAACTTTCATTGTAACCAATAAAGTTACAAATCCCTATGCGACCAGAAGTGATTTCTACCATCATGCTCGAACACGGCGAGTTTAAAGTTTGAAGTTGTACAAATTGAGCGACACAATTCGATAACTGTTTATGTATTAATGTTCTGTTCTATTTAATTTTTTTTGACATTTTGCAAAGTGTATAATCCTGAAATAAAAATTACATCGAGAGATAGAGTAATTCCAATAAAATAAATTGATAAAAATTATTTGAGTATGTATTATTATTATTTTATATAAAATATATACTATATATTTCTCTTTCGGTTATATCCACAAAATTTTTGTTAAAAAATTTATTTAATTTTTATCTTTTCTCTTACGAATCTTTAAATTCGTTAATATAAAATATATTTGTAACAAAAAAAAACTCGTATTTTCTCAAGTTCATTCTTCGTTATAAAAATATTTTACTTGAAATTAATACTTTTGAAATTAATACACGAAATTAATTTGAAAAATTTTATAATAATGGCATATATAATTACAGAGGTAATGTATTTTAAAGGTAATGTATTTTGCACTTTTATTGGGCTGATTACTTAATGTAAAACGAACTTTAAAATATATAGAAACTTCAGCTGAGACAAGCGACGTCCACTTTTCACTTTGGTGTTAAAAATTTCTTCGATAGGTAATGCCGCTTGGCCCGCAGGGCTGCATTTTAGATGCAGTTAACTCAACTCTCTCTCTCTCTCTTTCTCTCTCTTTCTCTCTTTCGCGCCCGTCCATCAGCATATACAGCACCCAAGCGTGGCCAACGAGTATGACCTTTTCAGAATGTCAACGAATGTTACAAGCACTTGCGTGACAGCAGAAGAAGTGGCGGATACGCGTCCTTATCCGCGCCCGCACAACTCCCACGAGACGCAAAGTTATGATTACGAGAGCTCGCAATATGCTCAAGGGACGTAAATTTTAGGGCCGCTTTGGCTGACATGCTCGATTGAAGTTCGAAATTGGAGTCGCCGACTATACGGCGTTTAATAAGGACTTCGCCGTCAGCGATCAACAGGGGAATCAGAGCGGGTACCTGGAGCTGACAAGGTCGAGGACGACGTCTCTTCGGGATACGTCCGACGACACTGTACGTGCTCGCTTTTAGGCGAGCTAATTCTTAACCGTCGTTACGGGAGAATGGGAGTTGAGATAATTGTACCGTGTTGGCTGGCACAATGGTATTACACAGTAGTGAGTCATGCATATTATAAAGAGCACATTGTCCAATCATTTACCTTGATCTTTACAGCTATAAAATAGTAATGTAAACTGCAATATAACTGAATTTAATAAGCCCTTTATAAACTTCTCTCTATTTCTTAAAATAAACATTCAAATATAACAACTAAATCGTTGCTACATTTAATTGATCAAGATTAAGATTTTTGTATTTTCGAATAATCTATTTTTGAAAA